TCATTGTTTATGTTGGTGAATGCTGCTATAATCCTTACGTACAGTTCATCTTTAGTGTTACAAGGAGTTTTGTCTGTCTGTCGCTCAACTGCGCCCCACAGATAAAAATCAAGGGAGTTGCAGTCTGGAGAGTTAGGTTACCAGATGTAAGGGATGATGTGGTAGCAGAAATTGTCTGAGAGCCATTTCTGAGTTCTGTTTGTGTGGCATGGTGCTGAGTCATACTGCCAGACATAGTGTCTTCAAGCAGCAACCCTCTTTACGCAGAACAGTTATACCTCTTCGAATCACTTTATCTAGGCCTCCGCGTAGATTCTGAGGCCCCGTGTTTAGATGAATGAAGGCATAACTTCGCTATCACTAGTGATCATTCCAAACACTTTCGTAATCGCCATTAGACTCATCCAACTATATTCAAATCCTCTGCACTCTCCTCAGATTCTCATCCAGACACTCAGAAATATTCATATTGGAGCTTACGGCACGAATGCCAAGCAGTACAGCATGTCGTTTCTAAATTTCTGGCAGAATGAATTGCGTCATGGTGCTCTTTTATCATAAACAGTACATTCAAAAAATCAAAAAGAAACAACAAGCATGCGCGAAATTAAAATTATAAAATGTGACATCCCACATGTATATTAAATTCGATTTATGATAGTATGAACCTTACCTTTGGTATTTTATTAGTGTCAATTCACTGTTCTACAAATTGGTGAAACGAAGAACTCATGAGGATGTCATGGGCAGTTTATATGAGAAACGCAAATATTAAAGACAGCAGACAAAAGTAATCGTATCTTATCAGCTAAAGAGTTATTGGACCAATAGTATGCTTATTTGAATTGGTCATGTAAAGATAATGTTTTTTTTTTAAATGATATAGTTTGAAACGTTAGTTTTGAAGGAAAAATAAAACAATTCTTGGTGGAAATGATACTATGACATCACCGATATATAAGAGTTGAGACCTCATTATATGGTGATCCATTTGTTTCCTGAAAAATCACTACTATTATAGTGTTTATCAATTCGCTAATATAAAATGATAAATATATTCAACATTTTTTCCTTCTTAGTTGTCCAAATTAAGTTTGTTGTTATTCATCATCAAGAATGGCCAAAGTTTTACCGAAACTCACATGAAAAAACTTCGGCAAAAATATGGTTTAGATAAAAAACAAAAATGCTCTTCTTAAGAGTCTGACCTAAATCCAATCGTAAATTAGAGCATCTGGGTCATCAATTGTCGTGGGAATCTACTGACATTCAGTGAGGCGCATATCTGCATTGGGTGGATTGGATGCCATTTTCAAGAACAACACTCGGGTGAAAATACCTTCTATGAAGTTCTAGTTGGAAATGAGAAGAAAATCTATTTTACGTCAACTATGATGAGCACTATGGATCATCACATCGATTTATAGCAAAGTTTCTTAATTGACATTAGATTCGATTTCCTTGTGTGAATCATATACTACATTTATTGACTATTTTGAGCATTAGACACACACATATTCATTTATTTATATATATATATATATATATATATATATATATATATATATATATATATATATATATATATATATATATATATATATGCGTGTGTACAGGGTGAATGAAAAGTAACTTCCTATTTTATGTATTATGGAATCTCCCGTATTGTAAAAATTATAGTTAAAATGGAGAGTCCACCATGCATAAAATAGGGAGTTACTTTTCAATCACTCTTTATATTTCTATCATAACATCAGCTGTTATTCTATTTTTCGTTTGTTTTTTTGGGGTTTTTTTTACAATAAGTTTTACCCTGTACAAGGCCTGGGGTACTTGAGGAACAGGGTTACGATAAGGAGTAGTCTATATGGACTGTTACATGTTAAGATTGTAGTGACCGTGAAAACATCCTCTAGGGAGTGTGTTTCATATGGCAGTGGTTAGCGGGAAACTGCTTTTGGAGTGGAACTTACTTCTCGCTGATGTAATACAGAGGGAATGTAGGTGGTTTGTTACTATGTAAGCCGTGAAGGTCAGACCTCGTGGAACCGGGAAATGAAGATCGACCGCGCAGTTTCTGTGGGAGTAGCGATAGAGCGGTGAGAGACTCGCCACTTCCCGCCTATGAGAGAGAGAATGGAGTGTGAAAAAAATTATTCTCTAACAAGGACTCAGATACGCCTTTGAATTCTATCAAGACTGGAAAGTGAGGTCTGGGAAGCTCCTGTCCAAATATGGCAACAGTATTCCATTTTCGGCCCGATCTGGCTCTTATAAAGGTAGAGGATAGCATGAGGAATTAGGTACTCTCTGGAGTTGTAGAGGGAGTCGATAATGAACACTAGTTTTGTTCTTTCACCCAGTGACCGTCTGTGTTCCCCGAAGCCTTCATTTATGTTTGTGCTTATATGCAATATGAAAGCTTTAATTTGACGACAAATTCCCAACTGCATACATTTGAATCTCAGTGTAACTTTTGTGAAGCGTGCATTATTGAACAAACTGTCTATATATGATACGCGAATATATCAGTACAGCTGATAAACATGTCTTTAATTTTGATAATTTAAACTGAAACATCCAGTGTCGTCAATCTATCCACCTAACTAAGCTGTCAATGACGTGATAGGAATTTCAATCAAAATTAAGCGTAAATATAGATATCTGTTTCTACCGTCAATCCTATCATCTCCCAAAGAAGTAATGCAGTCATTTTTGAAAGTTATAGAATTTGGCAAAGGCGAAAATGTCATAAATCACCTACGGGTCCGAGAATCGAGGATTTATGGATTTGTTCACATAACGGTTCAGCGACTCATCGTAAAAACAGCCAACTACAAGGGCCGGTCAGACTGATCGGTAGTCCCGATAATCAGCAAGATTAATGATATCGAAAAAGAATCAGAATACAATGTGAAACGAACACAAGCTGATGAACAGAGACACAACTTCATTAAAAAAAAATCTCGTAGACTAATGATGAAAAAAACATTCGAACATTGTACAAACTCAGCTAATAATTACCCTTCAGACTACAGAGTTACTGTTTCAGAATCATGTGTAAATACATCAGTAAAATTACAACCTAATTATAACAAAAAAAAACAACATATTTTAGACGATAAAAATTTATATCCAATGTAATTTGCACTCTTGTCGATATGTATCATCAACTGATGAATATTAGCCCATTGATGCCTACTGCAAAATATTATGTTAATTATTAAAAACGAAAGCAGTATTAACTTGTTTAGGATTGGGTTGAAGGTTCATTATAAATTCATCTCATTCTCTTTCAACCCGAGTATCCATTCACGTCTTAGTGGCATCATCGCCTTGCTTAGAGCGAATTGATTACAAAAAAGCACACACGCGCGTATATATATATATATATATATATATATATATATATATATATATATATATATATATATATATAATTCTTCGCATGATTCGTAGCATGATATATATTTTCTTATATAAAGTTATATATATATATATATATATATATATATATATATATATATACGTTCACACACACTCGGGTATCATACGACTTTTGAAGACCTAATTTTGAAGCTCCATTTTAAGGAGGGACGCATCATATCCACGATATAAAATTAGCGTATGCACTGCTAGCCCTCGCTACGCAGTTGACCAAACTATATATGCTGGATATCGGTCAAGGGAGTGAGAAAAAATCGGAATGGGGAAATGGAATGCATCTGGTGGCTAAAATAAACAGGACCCACAGGGGTCCTGAGCGAAAAGAAATGCGTCGTTGCGTGGGCTCAAACCGGAAGAGCCGTAGCCACACGGAGGTGCGTGGGCAAATGGACGGAAGAGGCATGGGCACAAGAAGCTGCGTAGAAGACATACCGGAAGAAGGCGTAGCCACGTAAAATTGCATGGGTGTTCAAATGTTATAAAAACGGTCCAATTCTTGGCCTGGAGAGAGAGACTGGCTAGAGTTTCATCGAAGATTTTTCTCCATCAATTCGTGTGGGCGCCATCCTAACCTCTTAGATTCTCCATCACTCTATACAATCGCCACGACTGGAATAATAAAGATATTTATATTTTTTTTTATATATTAGTGTTCCTCACCTCATTTCAACATATATCCACAGTTGTATTTAAAATAAAAATGATTTTGACAAGGCTGATGTTCGACTTAACTGTATCCAATAATATTAACTGTATCCAATAATATTAACTGTATCCAATAATAATATTAACTGTATCCAATAATATTAACTGTATCCAATAATATTAACTATATCCAATAATAATATATTGTAATATTCCCATGTAAGTGAACCATGCAGATATAGAAATCTACAATGCGTGATTAACACCTTAGGCAATCATCAAATTTCACTCCTTTTTGTGTGGGCTGTAAATATAAGTCATTCATGGATTATAAAAGAAATTGCGTTAATTATATCTTTATAAAAATCCTTCCATTCCTTAGAATATTAATAATTATAAGTTTCTACCTATAATATATTAATCTCCTCCATCTCAATAAATTGAACAGTGGACATCGGTAGATTACATCGAACATGATACAATAGATTAAGATTTTAAGAATATCATTGTATTAATTAATATGAAGACGTGGCTAAATCTCTTAGATGCGAAATTATTGTTGATTCGACTCCGGATTTCATCATTTAATAGGGATGATTGCTTGTGTGGATTTGAGGATTTTGGTCGAACATGGATTCTGATTTCACCAAGGATGTAAGAGACACGTTCCTTCAATACTCTCAGATGGGTGTTTAAATATATTCATTTTATCAGTTGTCCTACGTGTCCACATCTTAAATTCGGATGGATCAAACAACTGGTTACCGGAAATGATATTTTGTGTGGCATAAATCTACAACTGATAGTTAAAATGTTTTAAGTCAACCCGCCGATGACACAGGATTATCAGTACAAAATCCATTTTGGCATCATCTGGGATGAACCCAGTACATATAGACTAAAGGCTTACAGCAAAATCAATTTGAAATCTCCGGTTTGCGTACGATCACCGAAGTTAAGCAACGTCGAGCCTGGACATTACAAAGATGGGAGACTGCTTGGGAATACCGGGAGCTGTAAGCTTGGATGTGAGGGTGGTGTAACTGATAATGACTCGGAATTTTTAATCGATGAAACCGAGTTCTAATTCCCGTTGCGTTTGTTATATTCACTTACGCGTGAATACCCTTGGAAAGAGTATGAGTCCACTTCTCCGTTAGCTATGGGTTAATTAGTAAGATTTTATCACTAAAGCATCTAAAAAAGAAAGCCTGCAAAGGATTGATAAAATGTAGGAAACGAATCAATTAAACAATATAGACTTAATATTGATGTAGGTGTATATATTTTCGGGGTAAGTTTGACCGAATTCAACTTAATGCCTGTTCTGTAAGGACGCTTAAAGCCTGTTCTCTTTAAGACGCCTAAATAGCTGATATATTATTATCTTTATGCATAATTATAATTACCCAGGTCTTTATAAAGAACTATGTAGAAAAATTGCTTTTTTGTTGCTCATATATGAACCGACGTCAGAAAGCTAAAGCCTTTAAATTAAGAAACGTCTATAAACAATATTGTGTGTTGCTTTTACGTGATTATTTCATATTCTAAATTCATGTAATGTATTCTGTTTTGTAGAGTCACCTATATGTCTCTAAATTAATTAGTTAAATGTTAATGCTACAATGCATTTTATTGGTTTCAAATTATATGAACAACCACACGCATTTTCATCATTTATCTCTTTTAGAATATCGATAATATAAGCCAGAATCCTTTATAATAAATTTACGTTCAAGATCATAAAACATATCCCCTTTTCTCCAATAAATGCAATGTCGCATTATTAGAAGTAAAACACATTGGAACAGAAGTGATAAAAACTGAGAGAGATACAAGGGTGGGTGAAAAATATCATAGGCTGTCTATAAAGAAGTAATTCTAGAGCTGTGAAATCCTGCATGCATTAATTGAAATTTCATTAAAAAGCGTTTCTTTTTCACTGTTCAAAGAAGGTTACAAAAGTAACTAGTAGTGAATTCTCTTGAAAATTGAAAACATCTGGCATTGTGGCAGTTGCAGAAAATGAGCTCAGACTCAAGGATATTCAAACTGCCATGGTTGATGCATCAAAAGATTATGCTCCAACTTTATCAACAGTGCAATAGAGGGAAGCTGAATCTACGAGGAGAACGGAGAGTCTTGAAGATAAAACGAAGGTATGAACGTCCGGCAGCTACAGCTTTTGATTCCTGAATATATATATATATATATATACCAGCAATATATATATATATATATATATATATATATATATATATATATATATATATATATATATATATATATACACACACGATGTATGAAAGCACGTGCGATTCCCTGCCCTCGTAAGCTTCCAACCAAGGAAGTTATCACAGTTTCGGTGGCTGTGAATTTTATCTTGAAAAATAAATATATATATATATATATATATATATATATATATATATATATATATATATATTACGATAAACGTGCAATCAATTTAAAAATTCATGAATTATTCACACAAAAACAATGCAAAGGTTAATGATTTAATTATGAGAAATCCATCGTCGCAAAACAATTCAAATAATATACAAAAACCTCTGAATCCGTTATGAATGAAATTATCCTTGTTTCTATAAATTTCTGGCGTATTTGTTCTTATTTTTTACTACAAGCTTTCGTCTGTTCCTACAGACATCTTCAGGTATAGAATAGATTTTGTTCTTCCTTTTTTTCTCTTAGTACTAAGAGGACAACGAAAATATATGTATTGTTGTATCCGAAAATGCTATTGGAAATGAGTTATTGTTTTATATATATATATATATATATATATATATATATATATATATATATATATATTTACACACACACACACACATATATATATATGTGTGTGTGTGTGTGTATACTAGTATAATAACCAAAACGGTTTCTATTATACGCCTTTATACCTTTCTACAATTTCTTCCGTCAAATACTTTTATAGGCAAATATAAACATATTAGAACATTAATATTTTTCTTTCCGGTGGCAAGATGCCATTCCTTTAATATTAATACAAAATCATCTCCTTTCATACGTGAAATAGCGAGATTCATATGTTTACTTGAAAAATCTGTGATGTCCACTTTATTTCCTTTTTTTCTATATATTTATAAATCTCTTTCAATGCACAAGCGTTTATCGATTAGTCTATTGTTGTTCATTAATTCGGGAACATTTCGCAAATAACGGATGTCAAATTCAATCATTCAATTTTGTACAGCGATGTTATTTTAAGGATGTCACAATTCAAAATATTTCAAAATGTTCAGTGAACAAAGCATACATTTCTTGAAGAGTTCACCGCGAACTCGTTCCTTGCGTACGCCAGACAAAATAATTTATAATAAAAGTCAGCAACATCGATTTTAATAATCTTCCACCTTAAAACGCAAAGCTTTTCCATCTGGAAACTTCCATTTAAATATTACCTTTAACCATTTTAAATGTCAAGTTTGCTCACCCACTTCGTCATCCGTATTAAACACCATATTCATACGAAGTACATATATGCCATGTAGATAAAACACCTACCTAAAGTAAAAATAAAATATCAATTTTAAAAACTAAAGGTTGTTTGGGATGTGTTTGAAAAAAGAAAAAAACTGTCCCGGAAAGAGTAGCATTTTGAACTTTTTCAATCGTTTGAATATAGGCGAAGTTAACCATATAAAACCATCCATGTTAAGTTATTTTATAAAAACCTCTGGGCATCACATCCTAAATTTGGTTCGAATAGAAGACTTCGCAAAAAAAAAAAAATATATATATATATATTATCGCGTATATAATGATTCTGTTTAGAATCAGTCTAGCTGGGATTTTGCCTACAATAGAAAGAAGTGTTTTCTCCCATGAGATAACTATGAACAGCACTTGTTAACTGAATATCATACGGGCATATGCAGAGACTGTGAGATCGTTGTATACATACCATAAAGGGAACTATTCGGAAAGGGGAGTGTAAACAAAGTTTTCTTTTTAAATAAATTCATCCATGTTAATATTTTGAAAACATCTTGACATCACATCATATATTTGGTTCGAATAGAATTACGTAGCATTTCTTTCAATAGGTGGCGTTTGAAGACATCAATTGGTTTCGCAAATGACTAAAATTCGGGTGTGGGATATATCATCATTTGTTTCAGCTAAATTGCCGAGTCACTTTACGTGATACACGATTGAACGATATTTATTTCATTTAGAAAATTTTTTGATTGACAGACCTGAATGACTAGGCAGAAGATATTTCCGCAATAGGCTGCCGTTTCATTTCTAGTTGTGAAGAAAGGCTATAAGACACTTTGCATATTTCAGTTTATATTCAGTCCTAACTATGCTGGGTATTCAAACCATAATGTTTGATAATGGAGAATTGATATATATATAATGTTCTAAATATGTCTTTTTTTTGTGCACCAGTTGTTAAAATTAAAACTTGTCTGTGTCTTTTACATTTAAAATCGATCAAACTTATTTTAATCGGGAATTATTTACTATTAAATGTTTTAATACTTTTCCAAAAGCATTTGATTATATACCTATATACCCTTTATTTATATATATGTTGGATATTTTGAGATTACATTCAGGAAAAACAAATGAATAATTTTGTACAAAATTTTGGTTGAAGCTTATATAAAATTTAGGGGGAAATTCCTCGAATTTAGTTGGTAACTTTTTATATAACCATCAAAGAATTTTCTGCTTTTGACAATTGATGAGATGCCGTTGATGACATAAACGTTACAACAAAATATTATCCAAAATATCTGATTTGGACTTCAACAGATTTTCGTTGTTTTTTGACAAGGTGACCTTTGAAAAACTGTTGTTCAAAACGGATTCATTTATTTCACTATTGGACGCTATGTCGATGTTATACTTCTTCAACTCGAGAGACACTAGATTTGTTTTACGCTCAGGTCCAGAATCATTGTCCTGGAGAGTGCAAACATTCCAGGATCAAAAATGAAAATTCTTCTTATATTTCTTTTGATCTTTCGACTGCGTTATTGATAACCAGAAACGTCTCTGTGTGAGCAAGCAATGTTTAGGGATTTATTTTCTCTCCCACTCTTCATAATAGGGAAAACAGTGCAGATCCCAATTAGGGCTGCTTTGTCCCCGATGGAGGACAAGGACAACACAATTGCTCATGGTTTTGTGAATAAAAGGCCATCACCCATCGGCCTGCCACCGTGTAGCGCTCCAGTTAGAGCCTTCCAGTAATATCTTTTAGCTGACCTCGTCGCTTTCACTCTCTCGCCAACGGATTTTAAAGTAAACTGTGTGGATAAGCACCATCCACATTTTTCGGAACAACTGATACACTCGGTCGGTACAAATAAATGCCACAGACGAAGCAGACAATAGACCTCAGGCTTTTCGTGTAAGAGTTTTCCATCCCTAGACCAGTCGTGTTCGATAACATTAAAGAGGGCGGACCTGGGCACAACAGCAATTAAAAGGTGGCCTCACGCTCTTTAAATCCTCTACCGATCAGAACTTGCTGTTGGATGTAGTTTATCGTCAAACCCAGGACCAATATCTCCCGATTAGAAGACTTGCTGCCGGATGTAGTGTATTGTCATACCCAGGATGCATACATTGGATATATACCAATTTCTATTTAAAATAGACGCCCTCTTTTTATTATTTGCATGCAGTGTTGATTCTTATGTCAAAATGTCTAACTACAAACACTCTACTTCATATATTAAAGACCCTTCTTCTATAAATATAGCATTTTTCATATACATATACATACATATATATATATATATATATATATATATATATATATATATGTGTGTGTGTGTGTGTGTGTGTGTGTGTGATCAGAAAACAACAAATATGATGCTAAATATAGTTGCCTCATTCTTTGGCGTCCCGAGCAAGAAACTGTTTTTCAATTACTGCTAGCGAAGTTGGATAATATTTATTGACGCCGTTCTGTCCTTTCATAATTTTTTTTTCTATTCAAGAACATCTCCGAAT